CACCCCCCCCCCCCCCCCCCCCCACCCTAACCAAGGGGACCGGTGTGGACAGAGAAGCAGACAAGTTGTTTACAGAATAGACCGATGGTGCAATTTTTTCTTTAAATTATGAAATTACAGGTCGTCCCGAAAAGTGAATATAAATCAAAATAAGAAAAGAAATTTAAAGAGTGAAATTGAATGTCATTATACATTTTAAACTATGTGTCAAAGTAGTCAATGATTGCCGCTAAAAGATCAGCCTTTCTATTTGAGGCTGATTTTACGTTTAGCATGATGGCACACTGCTTCAGTGTAGGTACTGTTAATTTGGCCAGTGTGCCGCTTTTAACGTGGTCTTGAAGTTCCTTCAGATCTAAGGAAGTTGCAGCTTTCTTTGAAGGGGACGCGAAACATTTATCCCCATCAGCTTGGGATATGAGGTCGATAAAATTGCTAATCTCCTTTCCAGCATGTTTTTGAATTTTTTCCACATCAGGTTCTATAGGAAACAGCAGCCAGATTAATGCGGATTCAGCCAAGAGACAAAATTGAAAAGAACATACGTGTATGATCAACAATTTCATTCACCTCCGTGCGTTCAAGAGCCAGAGCTTCTAATTCAGCATAGTATTTCTGAAGAGTTGGATTGGAGATAGCATCAGAATAGTATTTTGTCGACATCTTCTTTATCATTTCTACCGCAGCGTTCACCTCTTCTGAACCAGCTACTAAAACGTAGGTCAGACTTCAAATTAAAACATCCTTCCGCGATTCGGGAGCTTATAAGTTATCTTGAAATTGCAAATACCTGGAGGATGTTTAGGCAACACCAACTTTCTAAAATCTTCCCTGAATGGGAGATATATAACTTGAAATCCTGGACTAACTACTTGTCCACCAGTTTCATCCAGTTGTTCAGCCTAAGACATAGAAAAGAAAGGCAAAAAGAAATACTGGCTATACCGACTTAAAACAAGTTTTTTTATTAGAAACCCACCTGAGGGACAAGAGCAACTAAATGCGGTGGTAAACTCTGACGCTGCACATAGAGAGCAACGCCGAATACTTTCTTCCTCAGACAGGAGGAAAGGAGAGCGGTGAACCACAAAGCGCTTCCTTTGGCCATAGTCTCTTCTGGATAAAGAAACTGAGGGGCCTTCATTTGACACCAAGGTTTTAATTTATCAAGTGGCTTGAAACCTATCAAATGAATGCCTGAAATAAAGAGAAAATTGCTTCGACATCATGACTAGGAAGAATTGAAGAGAATATGAACTGTTTCTCACCAACTGGGATGATTTGTCTTACCCGCCCAGACGTTTCATTCCGTTCGAAACGAAGCGTACGACTTCCAATACGAAGACCTTTCTGAATATCTTGAGGCATGACCATGCTATCAAGATCAGGTTTCCCACCTTCCTTAACTTTGTAGAAACGTCGCTTTGAGACAACTGGTTCATTAGTTTTAGCGTACATTCGAGCCTTTCAGTGTTTGTTATAAAAAGGAAATAGACTATAAGGCCGTGTGGTTCTATTTCTAGTTAATCCCCAAGCCGCTTTTGGGCAGAGGGACAGTAGCTTAGAGTTTCCTTGGTAATTGACCATCCGCTTCCTTTGCTACCCAGATTAAATCCATGGAAGAGACTATCCCACCCACTGGGTATGTACTGATGAGCATCAAACTCGCAAAATATTCGTTGCCCATTACTATATCTACCTATTGTGTGGGTTAAATATCTCTTTTTACCTGACTAACTAACTTAACTAACTTCTTTATGAGAAAATTTTCGAAATTTTAAGTACGTATTTTCAATAGTTATCTTTAGTTTGCTCAACGTTTAGTCAACACAATATATATTATGAAAGGAATCATTTTGAGCGAGAGAACCTGGAGACATGGGCACTGACATTTAGGCACTTTAATTCAAAGGGTAGAATTTGATTTAAAGAAGCAAGTTCAAGCTTAAATGTGACGTTTTTTAAAGTAGTTGAATACTTATTCTTTGTGATTCACTATTTCACGCTTTTTTCGAGATCATGCCTTAGGGGCAAGGAGAAACTCATTACCGATTTTGGAAACGGAGCACGTCGAACAAGGCAATAGGCTGAGACACCGAAAGCAAGAGTCGGGGTAACATCAGGACTCAGTTTGCCCAATGCAGTGGGTGTCATGGGTACCAAGTAGAGTGGCAAACGGCCCAAACGACGTCGACTTGGCTCTTGAGACTTCTCCCTAAATGTTATATGATACAATGAGTAGTGCGATAACCTGATGGGGCATGAAGTGAAGTTTAAATCACAATGAGATAAAAAGATTATGAGTTGATAAAATGGAATACAAAACTTACCAAGTCAATAATTTGTCAATACTATTTACACGCTCAGTAATCTCCGAGTCAGTGACAATTAGAGACTAGAGGGAATTTGAATGCGAGAAGTCGGTAAAGGCAATGAAGGAGTAAATAAATAAATGACAAGAAATTAAGCTCACCTCATAGAATCTATCCATCTGAAAATCTATGCCCTCTTGTTGAATCGGGATGACTTCAATATCAATTCCACTCTGGTGAAGATCGTTAGCCTTCAATATAGCTTGTCGCTAAAGCAGATGGTGAGAGTGATAACATTAAGAAGATGCCATAACTTTACAGAGTAAAAGTTGTCTTCATACCCTCAGCTGATCCTTGTTGTCAACAGGATCTGGGTCGTCTGTAATCAAAAATATGCGCTTGTAACCCAAAGCCTTCTTTCTAAAAGTAAAAAAAGCAAAACCAAGTATTCGAATGGCAATTGCCCACATTAGAAATAAATGAATATATTGAGAATTAATCCAATAACAACCCGAAGCCCAAATGTGACCCTTAACTGAATTAAGATTAATCTTCAAATTACTGATGCACTTTGCCCTTTCCCATATTCCTTGATCACCCACTCACCTACTTCTTCTTTGTCAACTTTGCACTATATGTGTGCTGAGTATTCGACATTATGTCTAGTCAACCAATGATGGAGTAGCACCTCAAACGTTCACAACACTTGAAAGTCACTTTCCCACATTCGCTCACTTTTGCCTAACAGATTCTGTTGTCTACTACGACTTAACATCAATTTAGTTACTATTTAACGCTGCCAATAAGCGAGTACAAGTAATGTATGTTTATCTCATGGATTTTTGGAAGCATGAAGGTAAAATTAGATTAGAGACGTGACAAACATTAAACTTGGCATGCTGAAATCCTGAAATAAACTAAATTCTAAACATTTGCAGAGTGTTTTGGGCTACGCAAACCAGCCCTTGAAAAGTGAATGAAATAAAATGTCGGAAAAATATATAAGACGGAGATAAGAAATCCGTCTTATGGCATAAAGTAGGAATTACGATCACTTCAATCCTCAGTCATTCATTTTCAGAAGAGGAAGAACAAAATGCAACTCCTTCATTCAGGTTATACAGAAGAGACTTTCAATAATTTGGCCACTAGAGGGGGGGGGGGAGGAGCTTAAGATGCAAGCATTTGAATTATCCGTGGCTATAGAACTACGGGAGATTGAGCTTACTCCTATTCCATCCATACAAACTAACGGACATCTTGTGGGTTATTAATGAAAGATATTCCAACCACTTTCTCAGTCAATTCTAGCTACCTTGAGTATACGGAATTTCTAGAAGGTTAGGAAACCAAAAGATTCTTCATCCTAATCTTTATTTTTTCAATAAAGGCAATTCGTTCAAAAGGGAAAACAACACTCATTATTCCAAGCAGATATATGAAAAATTGTAGAGACCTACGTTTTGTTGAATATATTCTGGCAGGCCCAGAGTGCCTCATGAACAGGATAACCCTCTCCAGCAGGAAGACCCCCATAAGCCATTTCAAATTTTTCTGGATCCATTTCTTGGAGGCCTTCCACCTTCAGAATTCTAGGAGCGTCAGTTTGATCAAGAGTCTAAGGACAGGGGTACTGTGTATTACAACTTTCGTTAAATCAAATTAAGAGGCCCAAACTGTACTGTTCAACATACCTGAACTACATTTATACTGCGGAACTCGGATGAATTTGAGGTACGCTGCAAACAAGGCATTCGGATGGGTTAAACATCAGTCAACCAATGCGTTGAAAATTGACCAACTATTTACAATAACAAGCCCAAATATCAAATAGAATACATCCCACTCACCGTTCTCATGAACACCAAACCGACCATATCGTCGGGGCTGCTAAGAGCCTTATTCTGCATGAAATTTTGGCAGCAAAGGAGGGCCAATTTGACGCCCGTGTAAGCATTTTCTCGCACCTGATCTTCGGGAACTTTCTCACTAACCATCGTGGTCGTGCAGTCGATTAGAAAGATTACTCCATCTCGAGTTGATGGCAGCTGGAGAGGATTAGGTGTTATCAAAAAAGTTCCATTTAATTGGGCTCAAATAGTTGTATTTTGCAGGTAATAAGTATTTTTCGTTATGCAGGCAACTGTGATTTCGTGCCATAGCACGGTGGAAATGCACTTGATTAATTAAATTTAATCTATTGAGCCCACATGGTCGTCAAAAGGCGATCAATTGATGTTCATAAAAAAGGAATTTTTTTGGGGGGGGGGGGGTGTTTCATACTTACTGAAATAATCGTTACGACTTACAAAGTCAGCTTCATCCCCATCAAATCCATCATTTTCGAGAAAGTCGGAGAATTGACTATCGTCCATTGAAGAAACTAAAGGAACAAAGTGATTCAATGCTGCGATTGAACATGCTGCAATTTCATTAAAATAGCCTAATTACGACTGCGCATATTAATTAGTAATTAAAATTTTTGGGATAAGCTTAGCTAATCGCGAGGTGATCAAGAGAAACGTTTTGGCGGTCTCGCAATAAATTTCAAAGATAGTATTCGACCACAATTTAATCTAATCTTGCTTCTCCTCCAAGTCCCAACCGAAACATCCTATATTCAATTCACTTTATTTGAGTACGTTTCCAAAAATGTTGTGTTTTAGTGAAGGAAATGAATAGAGTAATCTGCGCAGATGCTCTTGATCTGTCAAACAGTCCTATTGCAGATCCATACTTCCAATGCCCTTTCTAATTATGATGGGAACTTAAGGTCAGTCATTGTGGGCCTAATAGATATTTGAAACTGCCTCACATGCTCCTGAAAATCTGAACAATAAATTGGAGAGATGACTCAACAACATCCAAACAAACCCATTGAATAGAAGCATTTAAAAATGCACATCATAAGTGCAAGAATACCATTAATAAACCCCTTTCTTGGGAAACTCGAAATTCGCATTCACTGGTCGTCATTAATTAGCAAGTTGGTCACGTTTTTCACTAGGTCAACGGCAAAAGTAGCGACAATTGAACCTTAAGCTACCGATCAGTAGAAGTTATCACCAATACCGTTCAAGTAGTATTCTTAAAAAGTCTTCAGTTATCGTCAGAAGACCATGACCTTTAAATTCTATGAGGGTAAATATTTTATGAACAAATAAGTTCAAATCGAACACGGTTAGAGACGCGACAGAAATGTGTGCAAATAGCAACAGTAGTGTTAGTCTAGCATGCGATATCAGAAAAATAACGTTATAGAAGGTCATTTTTATATTATACCAAATGTCAGGAGTTTGAATCAGAGGAATCAAATAGCAAAGAAGGCCATTATAATGTTAAGCTTTAATTAGTCCAAGAGCTTGGTAATACCACTCAACAGCGCGAACAAAGAAGTCTTTGGCAGCACCGGGACATTGAATGGGATGTGCTTCTGTAGGAAAGCACAATGTCTGACACGTCCTCTCATTAGCCCTTTCACCCAGTTGGGCCTTCAATGCACGCATGAAGGTCAAGCCCTAAAAAGCAAGCGTAACAACACAGTCAAATAAATTTAAAGTAGGTGAGACATTAACTAGCAACACTACTCTTTGGGCAATATTACACTAGTCGGCTCACAATCGCTCATTCATCTGAAGTCTCATTGAACACTCACCTGTTCGCTTGGAACACGTTTATCTTTTGCTCCAACGCACATAAGAACGGGGACCGACCACTCATTTGAGATGTAGGTGATAGGTGAGCATTTAGCCAAGCGAATTAAGTGATCGGGATCAGTAGGGCAAAATGTGGATTTGTAGTTCCATTCACGACAGAGGTGTTCGGGATGTTCTGGATCGATTTTGGACTCATCCAATTCGAGGCCAGCTTCAGTCCAACACCAATCAGGAATGTCTGTTGTACTGAGCATACTCACGAAGTTTGTCACCGGGTTCCGAGCAATAACGGCACGATAGAGGGATGGATATCGACCCGCTAAGTGTAGAACCAGAAAACCGCCATGTGATCCTCCACTAATAAGACATGGAAGATCAGGCATTTTCAAATACTTGAGGGCATCTTCAGTAGCCTGAAAATAGTGAATAAACAGGAGCTAAAAAAAGTGAACATTTCCGAAAGATAAAAAGAAATTGACGCTCCAATGGAGTGTGTGAGGATAAGTGTTAGTGCTGGTTATAACTATTTGTTTCCTACAGCTAGATGACTACGAGATAACTAGCATTTCACTTACCAATGAGAGAGAAAGGTCTAACTACTCAAGCAACCATGGGATATCAAGAAGTAGAAAAACTCTAAAATAAGTAAAAAAAAACAACAAACAGTAAAAATGTTACTATTTTGTAGAAAAAGCTTAACCATCACTAGAAAAAAACACAAATTTAAATCTATTCGAATTTAATAAACCAAAAATCCTAATGGCCCAGCCATATCTCCAATATCAAAGAATATCACTTAAACACAATCACAAAGCCGCTCACCTGAACACAGTCTGACACATCATTTTCGCCACACTTTCCAGGGAGGGAGTAGATTGAACAATTTCCATAACCAGTAGAACCGCGGTAGTTAACAAGAAGGCAGGCGAAACCAGAGGCAATAAAAGAGATTACAAGTGGTAACCATTCAGCTGTGAAAGCAGAATGCGGTCCGCCATGTGGTATGACGATTAATCCTCTTGCTCGATCCCATTTCAGTTGCTTGCAATCAAATTCTATCGCCAAAGAAATAAATAAGAAAAGGCATCAGTGTGCAGATTTACCAAGAGAGCTGTTAAATTGCAAATCAGTGGAACCCATATTAGGGTGAATGAGAATAGATTCGAAATTCGAAACTCCAAAACGCAAATCCTTGGCATCAGTGGCCGTGTGTTGAAGTACCTTCCAAGAGAGTCCCTGTAAAAAAGGTATGGACTGCGCATTTTCGCCGCTCACAGAAAGATTGAGCCAACTAAAAGTTCAAATTGTATTTATTTTTTAGAAAGTGAGAAAACAAACCAAGTTGCCTCAATAGCATCTGGAGACACCTTTGTAATTGCGAGAAAATCAGGTACAGATGGAGCACTAGCCATCACGACCATGTAATCACCTTTAATATCCATTAAGGAGACAGTTCCATAATCACACACTTCAATTTCTTCAATAAATTTCAAGGGGGAGGGGAAACGAGTAATCTTCCCCAGTGAGGATGGAACCAAGCTCACGTGAATTAAAGCCATTTCGGAACGCCAAATTGATGAGAGAATAACTCCTTTACTGTCAGCAGTAAAGCATCTCTCACGCACCCCACCACATAAAAATAGACCTGAAATGTAAAAACCCTAGAAGGTCCAATTAACCTACCTTACCTGGAAAGTCTAGTATAGTTTTCGGATTTGCGACTAAGGGGATAATAACCTTAGGTCCGGAGTGTTTAGGTGGCCAATCTTGAGAAAGCATAGAGAAACATTGTCCATGCGGTCCACCGGCTGGCATTTCAAACCAAATGAGCTTAGAATTATCTGGAGAAAAGCGTGGCCACCTCACTGCATGACCGCTCCGACTAAGGCAATGAATGCTCGAAGATTCTTATGGAGCAAAAATGATATCGTTATCGAATCTTACCGAAATCCCAGTAGATCAAGCGGGATTCCCGTTGATAACAATAGATCAAACCCACTCGGTAAGGCTGGTTGTCATAAGCAACAAAAATAAGACCTTTGCCATCGGGTGTGTAATGCGGTTCATCAAAAGACCAATTTTTTGAATCAGGTACAATTTTCTCCAATCTGCTTTGGACACACTCTACCTCCTCTGTTTCCAAGTTCAAAGTACAAATCACAGGCCGGATAACGTTGCTCAAACCTTCACCCCAGGTTTCTTTATAAACAAAAGGGGATTTCAAAGGAGGAACATTACTCTAGACAAAACAAAAAAATTAATAAACTAGAAATTTACACTATCAGGAAGCGCCTTTGCTTCATTAGACTTATATTCTGCGAGATAAACAAGCCTGTTAGAGTTTGAATGACAAAATCTGCAGGCAGAAAAAGGCACTGAAGGGTCTCCAGAACCAAACAATTTTCCATGGCAAGCAGGAGAATTTTCGGAGCCCTCAGTAGGTAATTTAATTGTCTTAAGTAATCTTCCGCTTTGTAGAGAGAAAACATGTGCAAATGTACCCGGAATAGATGAAGATGCTTTCATGGGTCCTGAATCACCTAGTGCACAACTTGGAAGCGTATATTCAGTGAAAACCACTCGGTAAAGGCTATTTTCAATATCAAAGATAGCATTAGACCCGGCTTCAGCAGAGTAAGGGTAACAGAATCCAAATGAGGAGAACACCTCAGATGTCGAATTGTGTATAAGATGAGGCATACTGTGTTTTTCTTGACAATGGGCATGATAAACTTTGTCCATAATGATAGAATCATTACGCACAGGGTCCAAAAACTTCCATTTCGAATAGACGCTGCAACTAATAGGAGATTCCGAACACTCCTTCAATCGTATAGTTGCTGATATTGGCATTGGTAAACAAGAATAATGAGTAAAAAGCTTCAAAGCCCAACTTCTAAGTTGAGAAGACTCCATTATCGGATTAATAATGAGCCCAAAATTATCATAAAAGTGTCATGTTTGGAACTAGGTTAAACAAATACGCTCTAAATTGCATTTCCAAAAGAAGTATATAAACGTTCATAGTTTTATTCCTGAGAATAGCCTATATTTAATTCTGAGAACATATAATCATTATCATCTTTGTGTAACGAGTTACATTAATTCAGTTTCGCGAATGTGGATAGATCATAAAAGACGGATATTAAATTCAAGACATCAAGACACCATTCCTTTATTATTAGCAACTTCGACCATTTTGCAGTGAAGAATAGTTTGCTGTGTTGTCTAAACATTTATTTTTTAGTGCTTGTTGGCTGATTGACTTATTCACATTTATTGTTTTAGTTGGAGTTTGTTATTTCTTCTATCTTAAGATCTTAAAGACCATTTTCAGGGTTGCTAATGCATGCTAAATTACTTTTTTTCAAATATAATAGTAAATTGATCTAAATTAGCTGTTAGTCCTGATTCTAAGGCTCTAAATGATTCAGGTACGTTGACAGAATAAGAAGGAAACGAAAAATGCACAACAGTAACATTACTTTCCACGAAATATTTTTTCCATCCTCCTTAAGTCATTATATAAGTAAAATAAATATTTTAGAAACACTTAGTATGAATATATTATAATTCTCATTATAATTATCACAAATTTGCAAGAAATATCACTTACCACTTCAAAGGTTTTGTTTTAGTCGAGGTACCGACGTCATTATTGTGTTATGAATGTCTGAATCGTCGGTGTCAATCCCATCGACTGTGAGACGAAGGGCCGATTTAAGTCAACTTAGTGTAGTGGAGAAAGACGCCAGACGGTATTGACATTTATTTTGATAATGTATTTTTATAGAAAGCGTCTTAATCGGATTGCTGCACAAAAGGCGAGAGAACGTAACAAGGAAAGGAATAAACAACTGGAAGAGCGCGTTCGTCTTCTTGAATATGAGAATTTTCAAATCAAGAAATCATGTAGTTCTTATAAAACTGAGTGCGAGGAGAAAAGTAGAATGATTGAGTATCTAAGGGGTGAAATTATCAAGTTGAGAAACGGTATCTCGGAGAGTCGTGTGCAGGAAGAGCCAATTAAGTCTGCAGTACTCCCTCAGCCGAAGGGATTGGCGTTCTGCATCACGATTCTACTCTGTATTCTGCTTTATACGAGTGCCCCTCATATCGCGGTGACTCTAGTTTCTTCCATGCTGATGACGAGTTTCCCGATATTGGTTCCGAAGTTACCGTTTCTTCTTCTCCATGTCAAGAAGATCTCGTGCCGGATGAAACCAATGCAATCACTGATTCCATTTACAATGACGAAGCCCTTACATTCTTTCTTGGCAATTTAGAGCCCTCAGATTGTCCTCTCTCACCTGGTTCCGTCAGTATTTTAGAGGAAGTCGTGGATGACTTCCTCCGATCCTGGAAACATTAATTGATCTCATTGTTTATGTATATAAAGTGGCGTATTATTTTATGTTCGGTGTACTTCGTGATTGCAGCGCTAAAAATAATATACGTAAGCTTATTTAACATTAAATGACCTCTGTAGGAGGGGGGGGGGGGGGGGGGGTTCAAGTAATTGTGGTCGTAGGTTTATGTTCTACTTTCAAAGAGGTCAATGTATCCTATCGGGCAGGTTTTCGAGTAGATGGCACTTAATGGGAGTTCAGAAACTGATATTAGGCAGTCTAGTTTGAACCTGTGGGGTTCATCAGTCATTTCTATAAGTGATTGCAATTAGCAGCTGGTCAAGTTAGTAGTGACGCCTAAAGGGTGCCTGGGTTTGTACTCTTAAGTACGGTAGCAAATCGAGGAAGTGGGTATGCGAAGATATGACCCGTTTCAATTAGGTATCCACAGGGGGCTTGGAGGGTGCGCTCATATCTGTTCTAGACGTTATGAAATGGGGGGAGGTGGTTTCTTTCTGTTATTCACTTTTAGGTCCATTTTAAAAAAGAGGTTGACAACACGGATCTTTGATGCCATTATGACTTATCAATGGTGGTTTAGTGACTGAAATTTGTAGTGGTATGCCCTTTTGTCTTGGAATGATGTTAGAACGAAGTAACAGGTGGGTTGCTATGAGATCAACTAAAAGCATACTGAGTTGGTTCAATTAAAATTATACCGACTTGGGTACAAAGGCACTCCCTCATTCCCCCATTTTAAAATGGAATGCTTTTGGAACTTTTAGAATTATGCATTTTGCCTTAAAAGAATGCACTTGTTTTTACACTGTGAAATTAATATTGGTGAATTTGATGCGATATTTAGACTTTCGAAACTCCCAGGTTTTTTTTGCCTTGAGTAGACATACTTCTTCAGTCGTGGACTAGGCTAACAACCTCGCCATTCAGAGTGGAAACACTCGCAAGTACGCGGAAAAGCAAGGATGTAAAATGAGCTAATGAAATATTAAGCTGTTTTAGACATAAGTAGATAATTGTGGCTAAAGAATAACATCTCACTCTTACCAAAAAAAGGTGCACTAGTGTGAGTGAGCTCTCTTTGGTACCAACTCCACCTACTCTAGCGCACACCAGATTTGCACTAATGTAATTTTTATGTTGTAAGATAAGTACCTTTCAAAGTGTGATGAAAGTGAAATGGATGAAAGTACGGCTAGAATTCATCTACACTCCTTAAAACAGATCAAGACAATAAAAGCGGTCCGCAGATTCAATAAGTGTCACGAATAAAAAAATGTCAAACTATAACATATTCCGGGCTAATTTTAAATGATGATTATTGCTCATTTCTTTGATTCCTTAAGTAAGGGGTTAGGAAATTACTAGTGGAGAACAAAGCTCCACTATTGAGACCCAACGAGGTTAAGTTACAGTCAGAAAGAAAGTGTTCATGTTTTTCCATCCACGAGGGAGGTTATACAAAGGGATTTCCACAACACATTGTGTTAGATGGAAATTGCACTATCAAGAGAGGAATTCCCATACCCAACCCTTCTGAGACCCCGGAAAGTGTAATTTTGGAGGTTATACATAACAGTAGGATACATTTGATCAAGTTTATCACTGAAAGTCAAACTACAGCAAGTCTTGGGACTTGAGGTGTAATCAATTGCGATTTGTATCTTCTGTCCTACTTGCCTTTTTAGGGAACGTTATTATCATTGCAACCATGAAGAAAGGATTTGTCTCCCGAAGGGTTCCCAACTGGAGAACAAGATAGTTTCAGATAATTTGCACATCTTGGATCACTAGGTTGGAGAATCTGTTGAGGATCACAATCCCTTGACCTCCTCTTCATCACTTCTAACAGTCTTCTTTCCTCCTCACTCTCTTCCTTCTTAGCCTTGTGGAGAATTCCTATTCAAAGTATTAGCCAGATTTTAACAGTTCGTTTGGATAACCTCTTTCACTGCTAGTGCTTGGATGTGCAAGTAACAAGGTGTCCTCTGACATTGCAAGCAAACACCCTACCACTGCTCTTCCAGTGCTTAATTTGGGCTCTTATACTGGTTTTCAAGTTTAACGAACTATTAAATTTCAAACCCGATGAGAAGTTCATTTAGAAAATCGTTCGGCTCCTCGAGCTATATAACTAAACAATGAATAAGAATATTTAAAATTAAACTGCCACTGAGTAGACGTATTTTTCAACGCTGAAAAATCACTCTAACCCTTAGTAAAGAAAAGTCAAAAGTTGTATGCTTGAAGGAGACCTTTACACTTGATTTTCAGGGGAAAAAATATTTTTTTAAATCATGTGCCAGGCTTGTGATAGTTTTCTTTATCCCTTAAGTTGACTTCGGGTTACTCTGATTGGAGGACTATCAGTCACAACAAGTCGAGAGGTGGAAGAACTGAAGACTGATTCACAGCTGTAAAAGAGACAGGCACAAAGGTAGAGAAAAAGGTAAGGTGAGTACTGTGAGAGTGGTCGAATATGGCAAACAGTGCGGTCATGGTAGTTTGAAGTCAGAAGTCAACTGCCGGTTTATTGACTTTTTTTGCCGTATGAGTTTACGTGTAGGTAAGTCCATCGCGCACCCCTTTTAGAGAAAGTTAAATAGAGCCATTTAAGCGAAATCGGTATATATTAAAATGAGGTAGTAACCTGTGTGTTTGGGGTGGGAAGATTTTTCTCTCTATTTTAAACCAAATAAAATTTGACTCTGAGACCAAGTTGAGTCAATTTTAGTAACACTGAATCTAATGATAGGATGCGTGAAGAGTGGTTTTAATGGTTTATACTCCGACATCAAACATAATACGAAATAACAGCATTAGAGATATTGCCTTAATTATTTTGATAACAGCTCAAATATAATCGAGAAAATACTTACCCCCCCCCATTTCTTACTTTCACGAAGTAACTATCTTCCCATTTGTTTCTTAGGTTAATACTGGACTAATCAGGCAAGTAAACACACTACTTTGTAGCCGTCCACTTTGGGCAGAGTTGGGGGGGGGGGGGTGGAATTGACTGATGTAATCAGCTGATAAAATTGGAAAATATGTCGACATTTTCATGTACTTTTTCCTTCCAACCTGGTTTGATTTACTGCACGATAGACATGATGCACCCTTTGCAATGTATACTCATACAGCAAAAAAGTCTACTAACCGGCAGTTGACTTCAAGCCATCATGACCCCACTGTATGTCATAGTCGATCACTTTAACAGTACTCACCCTACATTTTTCTCCACCTTTGCGTCTGTCTGTCTCGTTTACATCTGTGAATCACTCTTCTGTTCCTCCGCTTAACTTCCTGTGACTTTGGTGTTCCTTCCCTCTCTGAAGCCCGAAATCAACCATAGGGCTAATGATAACTGTCATATCATTTAATATGAATAAATTTTAGTTAGGATATTTATCAGCCAAGTAGTAAAGTATACATCCTAATAGTTAGTTTTTAATGAACCGACTTAAATTGCGTTTTTCCGAAAATATTGACCCATAATTTGTTTTCCGTAGACCACTCTTCATGTAAACCATTATAGTATTTCAGCCTCTAATAGTTCAATTCAGTTTGTTCGCAAGCTGGATATGGTGTCTCGAATGCCTAAAAGTGCATTTTAGTTATTTTAATTGTGAGCCAGTTTATCTGCCTGTGTTCGTCAACCGCTTTAACCCTCACGCCTTACACCTGGTCTAACCTACTTATTATTTAAATCCATTTATTTGTTTGTTTAAACGTTTAGTCTTAAACAACTTCTCTGAAATTCTTGAGTAATTGTACTTTATCTCTTACGAGTTTGAAGGGCTTAGGTTTTAAACGAGCATTACGCGGTTTCATCTCATCCTTACTTGTTTTTATTTTATTTAAAATATTTGTCAGTTAAGCAAAGCTATCAAGTTACTTTTGAATTAGTGAGTAGACCTTCAGGGGATGTTACATGGGCGTTGACGAAATATCACTAAGCTCCATGTTAAAATCCCTTAGTAAGAAATAGCTCCAGAAAATTAGCTTTCTCTACCTCAACAATATTGAGGAGGGTGCGCGATAGACGTACCTCCACGTGGTGCACCCCAGGCAACGTATAATCATACGGCAAAAAAGTCTATTTACCGCCATTTGACTTCTCATTTCAAACAACCATCACCCCCACTGTATGTCATATTCGACCCCTACCTTTGTGTCTGTCTGACTCTTTCACATCTGTTAATCATTATTCTGTCCCTCATCTCGATATTTTATCGCGTTGATGTTCCTCCTCCTCTCCCTGAAACCCGAAGTCAACTAAAGGGCTAATGATAATCAACAAAACGCCTGGCATTTGTTATAAATAAATACAATATTGAGGAAATAGAGCTTATGGTGAGAATAGCGTTTATTTTTTGTTATGTGGCTGATCGCTAATCGTATAGGCAACATTGGTTGCTAGTTGGCAAAGAGTTTTCTGCCTTCACGATTGCACTTTCTCCCTAACACAATTAGTATCAAGATCATATACTCCAGGTTGCTCGAGTCTGTATAAGGTTCCTTGGTTCAGTCATGTTTGAGTTGTGCTCTCCACAGGTCTACATATATCATAAGGTGAATGGTCATT